GAATGTTGTTAATTCGGTAGCTTTCCATTCCATCAAGAATATTATTTGATTTTGCATTTTATGAATTTTTTTTTGTACTGTTTTTAGATTTATCGGGCGAGAAAGTTCCGGATCAATACATATCCATTCATTATTAAAAGGTGCTCTGATGTAAAAAGAAAGTTCTCTTCGGATAAAAAACCTATTTCCTAGCAATACATCATTTTTTCCAATAGCTTGACGTGGATTTCCATTCTTACCCCCTAAATTGAGTTTTGACAGCGACCTTTGTCCCATTGATATCAAAGTGCTTGATCTAAGAGATAATCCCCTGTCTGGATCTGGTGCCGAACTATTAGTTGCGTCTATATTATTTTTTGAAGGAAATACTGAAATTATTTCTGGTTTAATATAAATCAAGTCACATTCGATAAAATCTTTTATGGCAGTATCCATCTGAACTTAAAAATTATTATATTTTCCCAACAACATTGCTTATTGAAAAAGTTCTAATTTTGTTTTTAAAGCAACTGGTTTAACTTTAATGGAATTTAATCATTTTTCAATGTTTATTTACAAAGTGTCGTAATATGTATTTAGGATTTCCCCCACGCAACACCAAACAGGCTGTATTTATTTCAATTTCATTGTAAAATTTGAATTGCATCTGAAGATCAAAATACAAGCTTGAATTCCAGTCATATTGAGTTTATTATTTTGGGCATTTATACTAGATGAAGCAAGTTTGACAGTTACGGGAAAATAACTGCCGACCCAAGCAGATTGGACACATATTTACCAATATGAAACACAGAAGACTCGACAGTGCTTGTTTCAGGATATTGAGGACAATTAGCATTAAATTCTAAAAGTTTGTCACCATCCGGGGCTTCCTCAATTTTAGTTATTTTATTTACTTTAAGGAAGGTTGCGCCTCAAGCAGTGCACTATAGCCTAATTTATTTTTCATTTCTGGAGGTAATAGCGAGAATTTTTCCTCTATAATTTCTCTTAATCCAAAATTCTCTTCGAGATTAAAATATTATTTATTGAATTTATATGTTTATTTATGTTTATGTTAAATTTTGTCATGCATATGATGATGTCTAATCCCTATTAACGATCAGTACGTGTTTTTTCTGTAATAATAAATAACTATAATATTTTTCTTCCTTTAATTTTATTATTATCCCACGCCTATTAGTAGATAAGTGTAATGGTTGTTTAATAACTGAAGCCCTTACAACAAGTTATTTACGTCTCGTTCAATTTCTTATTAGATTTTTTATTAGCTTTGATTGGTCTGTGTATAATGATCGATTTACCAATTAAAATTTTTTTAAAATCATTTATTGTTTATTTAAATTTTCTATTTTTTATTATTCATGTCCATTAACCTTTTAAAATTTTAGCATGAACATTTTTGCTATATATGGTCGTGAAAAGAGTATAAAATTTTTTTTTTTTGTAGTCGCTTTGGCTTAACACTTTTATTAAATAAATAGGCTATCGGATATCATAAATGATAGGTTATCGAATATTACTTATGGAACCGACATGGTGGATCAAAATTTAATTGTTTATTACAGGTTATCGGTTTTAACAGGGTCGGTCTTGGGAGGGCCAACAGTAATATCATCTGACAAATTCATATGATGCCATTACCCAACTGGTTTTCAGGGATGTGATTTGGTGTGATTTGATGTGATTTAGGCTGTCAGTTACACGCCAATTAATATTTAGTAATTATGTGATTTGATGTAGTTTGCCAAGAATCGCACTAAATACATTACATAATTTCCGTGTCCCCGACTGATTTTAGATTGTCGTTAACCATACGGTTTGTAACTTATTCTACGTTTCTTGTAAAACAGATGGAAACGTCGATGTTACACAACTAATCCAAAGGTGAAGGATTATAACCGTAACGTGGACTAGCAGAATGATCAGGTACTGTAAAATAATTTTTTATGTGCTGCACACTAGGTGTGGGATTAGTTATGTTACATCGACGTTTCTTCCTGTTTTTCTAGTCTACTGTAACCCAATAACATGCACGAAAATGGAAACAGTAAGACGTAAGGTAGATATGCCTAATTTGGTGTGGCTAACATTTTTGATAAATATCACATGATATTTCAACCAGAACTGGATAATTTTAGTATCATTCGATTCGTCTCATCGAGACGAATCGAATGGTACCAAAATCATACAATTCTAATCACTAAATCATGAGATATCGCTTATTAAAGATTGTCTAAAAAAATGTTTCTAATTTGATGTAGTGCCTAATTTGGCGCAGGTATAACGTTTACAATAAATATCATGTGATGTATCGATCAGAATCGCAAGGTTTTGGCACCATTCGATTCGTCTCGATGAGACGGATCGAATGGTACCAAAATCCTGCAATTCTGATCAATACATAACATGATATTTATTGTAAACATTTACTTGCATCAAATTAGATAACTCTACCTTGGGCTGTTTTGGTTTAATGGAGTATCTCGAGAACTATCGATCAAAATCACATGATTTTGGCACCGCTCGATTCATATCAATAAGGGAATGCTACGGACACAACATTACAGGCGCTTATGTGCACAACAATGACCAGAATTAGCATTAGAGTTAAGGTT